AGACGTCACTGCAGTCCGCATGTGTTGACTGACTATGAAATGCAAACCAATGATTTCCACACCTATTCACGCATTCACTGCACACTCAGCGCCAAAATTAACTCAATTTAATGAACCATTATATTTGGTAAGCATTTAGTAAGTAATCAAAATGAGCAAGTACACCATTTAGTCTAATTTAATTTAATCTAGTCTAGTCTAGTTTATAATTTAATATTTGTGCTTATTGATCATTAAAAATGCTAATATTTTATAAATGCAGCTTGCTTAATCTTTAATATAACATATTTGTATCAAACAATTCCATCAAAACATTATTATTTAATTAATTGGAATAAAGAAATTGAAATCGTCAAAATGAACTAGACCAATTTTTACATCTATTTAAATGAATTAGATTCTATACTTTATTATTCTAATTTAATTAATAATAATAATTGTTAAGATAAGTATTAAGGAAATTGTGAGTAACATGATAATTTTTTGGAATATACGTAAAGGTACTAGATACCATCATATGGATACCAAGAATATCCTAATCAAACTATAAATTTAATTATGGACCCTGAACTAAACATGATCTAAATGGTAGTGAATAACCCTGGTGCAGTGGTAATCATAAATGCATACAAACAGTGTTTATCCGTAGGATTTCAATGGGATCTCAACGTACAGGTAAAGCGCATGCCTTTCATCCAACTATTTGTTTGCTTCACTATTACGTCATGAGATGTGCTATCAAAACATGGCTAACATTAGCCAATGCTAACCACCAGTGCTTTGCAGGCATACAGAGGTGTCTGAAGGAAAAGCTTGATTTACAAGACATTTGCATATGATTTGCATTGAATTTCGTGGCAATGATTGGCAACCAAATTGAAAACCAGTGAATCCGTGACCAATGAGTGCCTCAGATTGCAGTCTCAATACATGTCTGTCTTCGAGTGGTATCTCATGGGATGATGTGATGACCCATTTCTATGTCATGTCAACGCTTTCCATGTCTTAACATATTATTTGCATTCATTTCAGAGATGCGAAGACGAGTCGGACACACATTTGCATCAACTCTTGGAAACTATCGATCAGATTGTCTTCTTCGGTGCAGAAGTGCCCAAACAATTGGACACAGAGTTGGCTCAAGAATGTCTTGTTTGGAGACAAAAGTTTGCCACAAAAATACAAATGTATTATCAGTTGTCCATAAAATAGCAATTATTATCAATTCATAAGGAAATGGAAATTAATGTGAATTTTGTGCTCAATTGTAGGTCAGAGGGAAAGACATCTGAAAAGAGACCGTCGAAACTGAAGTCTCTTTCGGCTCCAAAGGTTTGTTGTTTGACACAAATATAGTGGAACCGATGGAACTAATCAAGTGATTGTATGTCTAGACTAATGTTAAGTTAGGTTTACAACCGAGAAGTTTATCCGAACAGACATTAATGGTTCCGAATATAAGACTCAATTCAATTGGTGGTGAAGTGACCGATCAAAAGGTCAAATCCAATGGTCTTAACCGATACTTCACGACAAACCAAAAGCCAGTAATCCTTCCGCCCATTCATAATGGTGGCAGTCATGCAAAAAGGGTTGACCAACAAATATCCCCTAATATATCTATACCTACTGTTCCCAAAGTGCCAAACATTAATAAAAGTAAGATTTAATTGACAATTATTTGTTTATAGAAAGCCATTTATTTGAATATGAAATGAACTATTAAAATAAATGTTTATATGACTTATGATGATATTATTACATTTTCATATTTATTATTTCATGACTATTACAATAATGATTTCAATTGGATTTTAATATACCGTATATACTGAGCAATTTGTATATAAAAAAATAATTTTAATTTCATCAAATATAATACTGTACTTATTTAAACAATATAATTATTTTATCCAATCCTAAATGTTTTGACTTCTATATAACGAGGTAAATTTCAAGATGTTTGTGAGATATACCGTATGACAACCATATGATACTAGTATTTATGAAGGATTGTATCCTAAATATAAGTTACAAATAGACTAACTCATGGAAAACCCAAGGGATCGATGTACATGTCTTGTTTGAGATAAGGATTGACCGGTAATTGTAGTAATTAAACAAAATTATATAATATTTTTATTTATTTGTCCACATCAAATTGCAAATACATAAATAATTTACTTATTATTAAGACAAAGTGTAGTTAGCTAGTTAAGGTAAAGTGCTATTAAAGCAACATACTGTTTATAAACAATAAATTATCAGTAAATTTGCCACTATATTTCAAACAATCATCTATTTATTATATTAAAATGTACTGTATAATTGGTTAAATATTGATGAGTTGTTTACCATTTTTGCAGTCTTTGCCAAACCTGCCGCAGTCTTATCCATTGACCAAATGTTGTGTCGTCCAAAATATACTGGAGATAACAGGCCTTCCAATGCTTCACATGTCAACCAAAGATATAAACCAATATTTCCAAAAATTAATAATCAATTAAATGATAACTGTCTTCGAAATTATAAGTATTAAATTCAGTGCCTTTTTGTATATTTACAAGTTAGCTCATTAATATTTATTAACAGTAATTTTAAATATTAGATTTATAATTAATGATACATTTAGCATTTAGCAAGAATATTATAGCAATACTGTATTATGCATTTTTTTTATAAATATTAGATTAAACTGTATTTTTAATTTTGTAAAATAAATAAAATTTAAATTGTGCCGATTCATTGCAATGAATACCATATACTGTAATAACAATACAGTAATACTGTAAAAATATTGACTAATAAATCAATAGAATAATTAACAAATAGAGTACAATATCTTACATTACTTTATTCATTGTTACATTCAAAGTAGACTACATACTTCCATAAAATATGATTCTTAAAATACTGTATTTTTAATTATATTATGTAAAGTTTAATGGTATTTTTATTTTTTTAAATATATTTTATATTGTTTATATCTTCAAAATTATAATATTAATTATATTGTTCAATAAAAATTTAATAAATTACAAACTCAATACATAAGAATAATTAAAATTTATAGTATGACTTTCCCTTTTAACCTTAATTTAATAATATTTAACTTTTTACTTAAATTGAAACCCAAATTAAAATCTGAAACAAAGATTGCAACAGTTGCAGTAATAGATAATAATAAATAATAATAGATAATAATAGATAATAATAGATATTAATAGATATTAATAGATAATAATAGGAGCCTGTTCCCAATTCTTATCATTTCAACAACTGTAGTGTATATTAATGGCAAATTTTACTATCAAATTGTCTAAACTTTGTGATGCCATTAATAAAATTGTGTTTCATTGGTTATCAAATTGGTTGACATCATACTTATTGACTGAAATGTTGAAATGTCCTGGGGCTATACTCACAGTGATATCTGTATGGTTGAGAGCTAAATAAAAATGTGACCTTCATTTGGACACACTTTTGAAATCCTTATTAAAATAAATGAAGTTATCGTTAAGAGTAGTCTTTTGGCACAATTCAGTGATTTGTGAGCAAAACTCAATCCTTGTTTATTTAGTTTGCAT